ATTAATATTAATGCTTACAGTGATAAATGAAAATGATGGATGGATGGATGGATGGATGGATGGAAGGAAGGATGGATGGATGGGTAAATAGATGAATAGATTTTCTTTTTGGCTCAACTCATTGACGTCACGAAGTTTTCTGTCATACATATAACCCTCTTCGAGCCCGTCTAACTTTAATACAAATATGAACTCTGTTCTATGATCGCGAGTCGAGTTTGATGGAAACATTAGTAGTGTCATACTTGATATATCTGTTTCCAATTCAATCGCCCTTGCTCACCTGCTTGGTTATGAATGAATATCAAGTATCTTGGAACTGATCATCTCCTCCAAGTATGTTTCACTTATTTCAAGTTAATTGCCGTTAAGTAAATCGAACGAACGTGCCTATCAGATTATATTAGTATTTTTGTGAAATATTTTAAGTGTTCACGACCTATATTGTTATTCACATACCCAACCATACCATACAAAAGATCAGTTCAAGCATAGTTAATGGTTCAAGTTCAAGTTGATTACCATTGAATGTTACTCGGCATCTGTCATAGTACTGATCTAGCCTATAGTAGTTGTCATAGTACTTATCTTTGATCTTTTGCATAGAAAAAGAAAAGAAAGAAGAAAGAAAAGTGATAGAAAAAATGAGAAAGAAAGAAAAAAAGAAAAAAAAGAAAAACAGTCAAGATCTAGAACTACAAAGAGATAAAATATTACAAAGAAAAAATAAGATAATAAAAGAAAGTGTCATTTTGTATCATTTTTTGAGATATGTTTTAGAAATGGAAAACGGATTCAGAGCAATGCAAAATGAGTAACGAAATAATGAAAAAACAAATCAGATGATATATTTCACACTAAGAAGATTCCCAACTATCAATGAGGTACTGATAATGTACTGATATGACGTCAAGAAAACTATGAATTCGAGACAGACTGTTCTTCATGTTTCCTTGATATGATACATGAAGTACCTCTATAGTTCATGCATATAACATTACAGCCCTGTTTAACAAGCGAGGCAACCAGGTGCTAATTAAGAAGTAAAAAAGGCTCAAAGGGATTATAAATATAGTTTCCGATTTTCAATAATGATATTAAAAAACACTATTCTTGATTTAGCACTGATTCCCTCGTTAAGTCGATGTTTCTTTTCAATTGACGAAAATAACCTGATGTAGCTTAGGTCAATGCTCAATGATGGATGGCTTTGAAAAGCTCACGAATAGGAGGGAATATTAACACCATTATTCAATCAATGAACGAGAACACACGCACCGTCCAATCAAAATGTTTTACAGTCTCAAGCCAATTAATTGTCCTGCATGCACTATTGTAGGGAAGCCGAACGGGGTGGGGGTGAAGGGCACGGGGGTGGGGGGGTAGGGGGAACGCACCCCTCCAAAAACTTTTGCTTTCCGCACCAAAATTTAATTGATTAATGTGGGATTCGTGGGGATTTGGCGTTAAAATGTTACATTGCCCTCCCTTATATAATAATCGAGACCTCGCTAACGCCCTGTCTGCGTGGCACTCATGTTTCCAACGAGTAATACGAAATTCTCTTTAATGATTACCATGGAATAGGATTTACACTTGTTTTCAGTGATCCGTAATTGAAACAAAATTCAGGCAGGCAAAAGTGGTATCATTTTTAAGCAACAACCGATTCTTGGTTCACACGCCCCCAGTTTCGGTTGTTCGATTGAGTCTAATATTTCAAGAAAGCGTGAAGCGCTTCATCCTCTGCAATTTAAAGACGGATTGGGTGAGTGTGGCAAGGTGTGTTGTTCACCTTTGAGGTCTAGACTTTGATTCCCAGACTCGGTATTACGTCTAAGTAGAATTTGTTAGGTCTCTAGCTAAGTTATACGGTTTTTCTCCCTCTACAAAACCCAAGCCAAGCACAGCCCCACAATGCTATGCGATGCCAACTCGTTCCAGTTTTTTCATCAACCTCTGAATGGCTAATTTTCCTGCAAACGAAATTAAAGCAAATGGCCGTTTATGAGCTCCAACAGGAAAGCATCAAAAACTACTTCAGTTATCGTTAAAGTAATTCCAAGATGCTTTGAAAAATTAGTCTTAAGTAATATAAACACCATGACTTTCAGATTTTTAAGTATGAAATGACGAATTTGATGGGTAAAAAAATGTATTTATCTGAGGAGAGTCGAACGAGTTTTGCAACATTTTAGTGGCTTCAACGTCAATCAAAGAGATAATTTATTCATCTTACATGAAGTTTGAACTAAGCTAATGAGTTCAGACACAAAAGTCTAAAAAAATGACTTCCGTTATCGTTAAAGTATCTCAAAATAYTTCAGAAAATTAGTCGTAAGTACAATAAACACTATGCCTTCTAGATTTGAGTATGAAATGAAGAATTTGATGGGCAAAAAAAATTATTTATCTGTGAAGAGAGTTTTGCTGCTTTTTACTGGCTTCAACGTCAATCAAAGAGATAATTTATTCATACGTTTCGAGTGAGGTTTTGCATTTCTTTTTAAGCTGTGACTGAAATAAAAAACAGTAATTTTTTACCATCAATGTATGAAGCTTTTGCCTTTATTTTGGACAGGAAATCCCATAATGTTTTTGATTCCAGTTACATATTTCAAGACTACATTCCTTCCCGTCTTCGCTATTCCGGTTTTTCCMGATCACGTGCAC